AAACACATTTCATTACACCAAATACACAAAATAATGTTCTTTTTAGCAGCATCATATGACCCCTTTAAGCCATATAAAGATCAAGAGAAAAATCATCTGTTATTCTCATAGAAAATGCTCCACCGTCCGGCTGTGGTTCAGCTCATAAACCCAAGTCCTCAGCCTGGAGCGGTACCAGTACCTAACCAGCCCCTCCCTCAGCCCAATGTGCCTGTCTCTCAGCCTCAGCCAATGGTCAGTATTACAGCTTTTATCCTTTCCTGAACACTTGTATCATGAGATGCATTAAATAGTAGTACTTTAATACACAAATACACAACTGTTTTTGAAAGTAGTCTAGTATTCTTACCAAGCCTGCATTTATTTGATCAAAAATACAGTAATGTTGTGATGTTGTGAAATATTATTACAATTTAGAAACTTTTTCTGTTTGAATATTTAAGATGTAATTTATTAATGTGAATTTTCAGCATCATTATTACATTCTTCAGTGTCACGATCCATCATTCATTCTAATATGCTGATTTGCTGCTTAAGAAACATTTCTTATTATTATCAATGTTGAAAACAGTTGTCGCGATAATTAAATAACCGTCTAATCGCGATTATTTGATCTAACCGATTATTGTCCTTTTTTATACGAGACAAGGGGGAGTCATACACCAAAAGAAACAGAACAGCACCAGTTTGCTTCTCATGCACTGTATAGCCTATACAGGGCTCCAGACTCATTCTTCCCACTGGTCGCTCTTTTGCAACTAACTTTCTCAGCTGGTCGCACGAGCACATGATTTGGTTGCAATATTTATTTATTTTTTTTTGCTCTACAACATGGGATTATTCTATGCATGCTGCTGATGAACTTTTATCATAGTTTATAGTTATATGGAAACAAAAGTGGTTAACATTCAGCCCGTTCTTTATCATCAGTAGTATTATTTGTGATTTAAATTTTGTGAATGGGAGTTTCTTTCTTTTTTGCTGTGTTAAGCCGCGGGCTTCGAATTTGCTTCGAATTTGCGATCTTGTTGTCACTGTTTTGCTTGCATACATCTACACACCTTTAATTTTTAAGATTAAAACAAAAGATGCATTCATTGTTATTCTTAATTAAAATCACAACAACAATAAATCAGTAAGATACAATGACAAACTAGCTTACAAAACATTTATTAACAAAAACTAATAAGATGAGGCATGGCACTCCCCACATGCTGTATTATATTCTGACTAATAAATTATAGAACGTTTAGCAAACACTGAGGAATCAAATAAATAAATAAAAGAGAGCCTCCATAGCATAATGTGAGGTAAACCGCAAAGATAAGTTTTTCAAAAATGAAAACAAAAAGAAAAGTAAAACTAACAGTGACCGTGCTTGCATGTTTTTTTTTCCCCCCCACAAGAATACCAGCATGTTCACCTTCTCTGGTTTAAGAAGCGGTCTTTTACTTGACTTTCGCTTGAAAACAATCCATGGTTTCCTCAATATGCGCGTAATTTTTGCTGTAGCTGAGTAGGTATACTCTCTAAGCGCTGTTTCGTTATGCTTTGTTTCATTTGATGTTTCTCATATGCAACAGAAATTGCAGCGCTTATGAGTTGACCAACGCGGTGGTCGCGCCAGTGCGACTGCACACAAAATTTAGTCGCACAGGCAGAAAAGCAGTCTGGAGCCCAGCTATATCATCTGAAGCCATTCCATATCTTAATGTGAGGGACAGAATTTAGGTTTATAGAAACTCATCTTCCTTCTGCTGCAGCTGTCAGTCATTCTCCGCTCAGTATTCAAACAGCATGTCATGTTCAGTTATGACAGTCAGCAAGGTAAAACTCTCCAAGATGATATATTCCCATTATAATACTTTAAGTTTAAGGAAGGAAGGAATTATCACAAACAGAAAGATTATTAGAAGCCTTTCTTTTTCTCATGATTTTCTCTGTAATGAGGACGTGAGTATTTAGTGGATTGCGTTTAACAAAGGGTTTAAAAGAGTGACCATTAGTTCCACAAACACAGTATTGATATTCTGTAGTGGTGTAGAAAAAAAAATAGCACTGGTGTTGGATCGGTATTCTTACACTGCAAAATAATAACTCAAAAAGATGAAAAGATAACATCATAATTATTTACTGAACCCTTAAATTAATCAATTATATAATGAAAGCCATAAAAACAGACAATTAATCGTGATAATCGCCAAAGCCCTAAATCAGACAATTAATCGCAATAACCGTGACTATTTTTAGACAATTAATCGTCAGCCAAATTTCATAATCGTGACAGCCCTAGTGCTGCTTAATATTTTTGGGGGAACCATTTTTTATTTTCATGATTCTTTGATTAAAAAGAGCATTTATTTAACATGTGAAATGGAAATCCTTTCTACATTATAAACATCTTTACTTTAAAGGTACCCTTGAGCAAGGCAGCAAACCCCAACTGCTCCCCGGGCGCCGCATTTTTCTTTAAAAAAAATATTATTGGCCAAGTGTTTGATTGGTAGGGTGTTTTAGTCTTTTTGTGCTTTAATAACATTTGCAATCTTTCACATATTGTGTCTTGTGTCTGGAGTTCATGGGTTCATGGACAGTTCCTCCTCATTCATGGTGCTAACGAATAATCTTCTGTTGATCTTCTGACTCACAGCCAGGTATGCATGTGAACGGAGCCCCTCAGATGATGCAGCCTCCACAGATGGGAAGTGGAGTACCCGGACCAATGCCAGGACAGGGACCCATGGGACCAGCTGGTAAGCTTGTTTGTCCTAGGATTACTTTGGTGCTTATGTATGTGTGTGCACATAGTTATAGTGGTTTACCTTTGGTCTCTCCTTTTACAGGTGGGATGCAACCTCAGATAGGGATCCCTCCAGGAGGCCCTGTGCCCATGGATAGAGGACCAGGTATTCATTTTAGGCATTCAGAATTTTTTTTGTATGATTATACACTTGATATCGCTGTGACTGTTGTTTGTACTTTATCATATACATGTGTTACCATTACAAGCATTTGTTTTTTCAACAAATTTTTAAGTATTTGCTCAGTGTTTAGAAGTAGTATTGTTGTTTTATTCAATTTAGGACATTCACAGTCATTGTGAGAAAATTATGATATCACTACATGATTTATGTCCGCAAGTGAGCAGTATTGGGCAACAAGTCTGCTGCACTAACAGGCTTTTATGTAGTGGTTTCATTTTCATTCACATCTCTTCAAGGTGCTTTTTTTTGCATTTTCTCAAACATTTGGATTGGTCCGTGTTGTGCCAAGATACTCAACCATAAACATTTAGATGGCATATAATTATATATAAACTATACAATTTTGTACTCATTTTTGTGTGTGCGCACTACTGATAAAAAGTTTGTTGGTCAGTAACATTTTTAAAAATATATTTAAACTTTATATTAAACACCTTTAGCAAGGATGCATTAAATGAATCAAAAGTGACCGTAAAGGAATCTTGAATTTTTTTTTTATTTTTTTTTTTATAATTTATGCATTTAGCAAACGCTTTTATCCAAAGTGACTTAGTGCATTCAGGCTATACATTTTTTACCAGTATGTATTAGTGCTGTCAAAAGATTAATCGCATTCAAAATAAAAGTTTGTTTACATAATGTGTGTACTGTATATATAAATACACACACATGCATGTATATATTTCAGAAAAATATGCTGTTTATATATTTATATAATATAATTTTTATGAATATAAATATATACATGTAAATATTTTCAAAATATATACTGTATGTGTGTGTCTTTATATATACATAATACGTGTGTGTGTGTACTGTGTATATTTATGTAAACAAAAACTTTTATTTTGGATGCGATTAATCACTTGACAGCACTAATATATATCTCTATCACTTTTCCACAAAACTGTTAATTTCGTTGACGAATGATTTTCGTCAACAACATTTTTTTCACCGACGACAATGAGACGATAACGAACTAAAACTTTCTTTGAATGACAAAAACTATGACGTAAATCTATTGACATTTTCGTCAACGAATAAAAGCGAGACGAAAATGTTAGGGAGGGACGATTTGGGAAGAGATTCATTCAGAACGAATCTGCTGTGTGATTCGGAGGTTAGATGTGTACATATGAACCGGCGGGACATAAGCTAACATACACTTGCTGCACGTCGCAAAAAAAACATTCAAAAATGTCAATATGTGGGAGTAAGAGAAGAGCAGACATATGGATAAATCTGACGACGCAAGAGAGAACTCAGTTCGGTCTGGATTTCTGAGCGCACACACTGAAGCATACACACACAGAAAGCGCGTACTCTTTCACGTCGCATGAACGGAGAATTACACACGAAATGATGTCGAATTGTCCGTTTTGACGAGTATTCATGTGTAAACAGTTGATTACGTAGTTTAAGTGAAGGTAAACAGTAGGGAGAACGTGTATTAGTACATTGCATCCATTGCAGCTGTGCATTCGGTTTTAAAGGAATAGCAGCCTAATTTAGTTGCTATTGTCCGAGTCATTGATGTTAATAAAGCAACAACAGAAAGATGGAAAATCACTCACTGCTCTTGACTGAAAAACTTTAGTAGCCCTAAAGATTAATCTACATTTATTTATAGAAGTAAATATGTCTGATTGAAAGAATGTGGTTTTATTTCATTTTAATATAAAGGCATGTTGTGTGTCACCGCAGTTAAATCGGTGTCTATCATGATAAAACCTTAATATCAAACCTATATAATGAGTTTGGAAATTTTAGAGAAATGCTTAATAAATGCACTTTAACTAAACCCATTAGATTTTAGCTGACTAAATTTACTGTAGATTTAGTCGACTAAAACAAAAACAATTCAGATGACTAAAATATGACTGAAACTAAATGGCATTTTAGTCAAAACACTGACTAAAACTAAATCAAAATTTGCTGTCAAAATTAACACTGCCACAAAACTATTAAGTAGCACTGTTTTCTATCTGTGGTAATAATAAGAACTATTAGTTGAGCACCAAGTCAGCATATTTTAATTATATTTGAAGAATCATGTGATGCTGTAGTCTGGAATAATGGCTGCTGAAAGTTCACAGGAAAAAATTACATTGTCATTTTTTTATTGTAAAAGTTCACAATATTACAGTTTTTACTGCTTTGGTGAGCATAAAATAAGTTTTCAAAAACGTTACAAAATCTTGCCGACCCCAAACTTTTATATATAGTTTTATATATTGGTATATTGCATTATAAAGGACACTTTGATTCCTAGATATTTGCATCTGCATTAACCAAATTAAAAACCTATATCGACCACTACTCTAACCCATGTCCTTTAACATCAGTACAAGCATCCCTGGGTAATATCAGTAAGTGCTACCATGCGCTGTCTCAGTTCTCTCTCCTGTTCTTTTCACTTAATGCTGACCCAGGAAACCTTCTGGACTCTCCTGTGGGAGCAGCTGGGCAGGCTGCTATCGAGCGGCCTCAAGGTATCATGGGTATAACGCTGGTCTGCTCAGAACAGGCCTGTCCGTAGTCTCACCTTCTCATTGTTTTACCCCTACATGCACCTTTTGTAGTGTACTTCTTATCTCTTCCTACCCTTAAGCATCACTCTTGAGCCATTTGACAGCAGTACATGGAACTTCCATTTGCACACTCAAAGAGAGTGTGCAAAATACCACATAGATGTTTGGAGACAAAAGTGAAACTGTTCAAACAATTGACCCCAAAAACATTTTAAAAGGCACAGTTGACAGAACTAATCACTGATTATCACATGGTCATGAATAGTGTTGAAACATAGGTGTGTTCTGCTGTATTGTCGCTGAAACAAAAGTGCTTGAGTAAAGACAACACATTGTAAACAGTTTTAACCTTTTATTGTAACATTTCCAAAACCTGAACAATGAAGTCTTGTTTCCTAATGGAATGTGCCAATGCAGCAGAATAGAGCGGAGTATTGATGAGTTTCACTTTGTAAAGATGTTGAAATCCTCTGTTATCAATGTCACTGTGACAGGTGAAACAATATCCTTTTGTTCGTGAAGTGGAACCTTTTTGTTTCCTTCAGTTCTAATTTCAGTCTTATTATTCATGTTCTTTGATTGAATAAAAGGATGTGTCCAAGTTTTGAAATGTTTGTGTAATGCACTTTGACACTGGTTTCTTTCATCATTTTGATTCTATAGCCAATTCTTTTTTTGAGTCTTGACAAAGTGTGCACATTTTTCAAAATCATTTTTCATGTAAATGTTCTTTCTTTTCGCAGTGCCGATGGTAGACCCACGTGCCCCAATGCGAGGGGCCCCTCAAGGCCCTCCAGGGATCCCACCCAGAGGCTTGCTTGGCGATGGTCCGAATGACCCGCGAGGTGGATCATTGGTCAATGTTACTGGAGAAATGGTGGAGCCAGGGTAATGTATACTAACTTTGTTGAAGTGACATTTAGATGATCACAGCTGATCATCGAAAAATATTTATAATGGTCTCATTAGTATTGTCAGAAAGCTTACATTGACTGATCATTTCCTTTATGCACTTGTGATTAACCCTATAAAGAAGTCAAAATGTCTCTTAGAAACTTTAGACAAAATGGGCCTCATTTATCATTCTAACGTAGAAACGCACGCAGATCCGTGCGCACAAATGAACTCACAACAGAGTTCACGTGTGATTTAATGAAACATTCGTATGCCGCCAATCTCATCGTACGAATGATCGCATGTTGATAAATGTGGTGGCAGAAAACAATCGTCATTTGAATATCACGCCCCTAAAACCCCACCCGGTTTAGATGCCCTAGAGTTTACGACACGGAGAAACGAAACCCGGCCAAAAAGAGGAAGTAATCTCGTGAAAGAGAAATTGATCTTACTCCAAAAACACCCGTTAAACTTGTAATTGCAAACATTTAGGCAACATTAATTTATGTAACTTTATATGTATATTAAAATACTGGTAAATATAAACATTATAGCCTATTTCCCTACAACAAATATTTTAAATTTAACGGTATTCAGAACGGAACAAGAATGAAAAAATTATATATTAAACTATAAAATAAAACACAAATTAGGCTATTGGCATTCATTATAAACAGCATACAAGCAAAACTGAAACGGCATTGGGCTCACGAGCCTGTCTCATACCACAAGAATCCAGATGTTTCCATTTTTGCCATATTTGTAACATTTGTTTGCATAACTATTATTCATTATGTGGCCTAAACAACAACGCTTTATACTTCACTCATGTTCTAATATCCGTATAAAATCCTTCACATGCACAAAAATGTTTGTTTGGGCGCTGCACGCTTATTTTACTGCAGACCTTTCAGTTTGGTTGACTGCATTTTAGTTTGATGACGAATGGCTGAAATGTCAGACAACGCTAGAAATAATGTTGTTTGTGTGTGTGTGAGGCGCCTATACGTGATCAGATGGATTAAATCAAATAAAGAAAAGAAATCAAATGCATTCAGAGTGTCACAAAAACGAGCGTAGCCTATACTTGTTGCACAGTTATTTATTTTTTTTTTCCCCTTTTGTTAATCTGTTAATTATATTATAGCCTATTATATATTTTGTGTGGTCCTATTTACTTTATTCCTTTTATAGACTTAATTTCTGTTTTTCTGCAAAAAATCATGATGCGACGATTGAATCCTCATGGTCTGTTGTTTATGCTGCTATTTGCGCATATAGTAACATGACATGTGGCCAAGTATGGTGACCCATACTCGGAATTAGTGCTTTGCATTTATCCCATCCAAAGTGCACACACCGCAGTGAACACACACACACCGTGAACACACACCCAGAGCAGTGGGCAGCCATTTTTTTTGCTGCGGCGCCCGGGGAGCAGTTGGGCCTTGCTCAAGGGCACCTCAGTCGTGGTATTGAAGGTGGGAGAGAGCGCTGTACATTCAC